CTAGGCTAACCATCTCACAAACATCTTACTCATCTCCGTCGCCACACCTCTGCTTGAGCTGCCCTTCTGGAATGCCATTCCTCTGCTTTGCCAGGATGGAGAGGACCCTCATGCCTCAAGGCTTGGCTCAGCAGCACTTCTTGGGGCGGGCCACTCCTCTCCACGGGCCTCTCCCTCCTCTGACTCCCACAGGGTCATGGCTCAGCAGGCCTAGACTTGAACTGTCGGTTAACTTTCAAAGTTAAACTCTAAGTTTCTTGAGGGCATGAGTGTCTTGTTTCTCTCTGTCCTCAGTACCTATTCAGCAATGCTTTATAAAGCCTTAATCCATTCAACCAAATTTTGCTGAGCACCTATGGGTTTCCCAGGCTCTAGTGGTAAAGAACCCGCCTGCAAATGCAGGAGACATAAGAGATGTGGGTTCGATCCCTGGGTCCAGCCCCAGAAGGAGGGCATGGCAACCAGCTCCAGTATTCCTACCTGGAGAATGCCAGAGACAGAGGAGCCTGGTTGGGTCAGTCTATAGGGTCAAAAAGAGTTGGACATGACTGAAACCACTTAGCATGCCCACAGAATGCAGGCTCAGAGGGATGGGGAGCTTCCACCTTTACTAAATCCTGCCAGACTGTGTGTCACCGAGTTCATTAGGCTTTGTCTTTATGGCTTCTGGGCTTGGGATATGCTTCAAACACCTTTCTCCATTTAAATCTTTGATTTGCCTGGAAGTGATCGTGGCTAAAGGGAGGAAAGGAGGAGTTCCAGTTGTTTCAACACCATCTGACTGTCACAGATGACTGAATAATAAGCATCTGTTTTTATAAAAGTTACATATATTTACAGATTCAGGAAAATTTTCTAGGAGTTACATCAACCTGCCAACAGCTATCATTTCCAGGTAGTGGGACGATAGATGTTCCGTAGCTACGTTCAAAAGTTTTCAGCAATAAACATGTTTCATCTGTGTCATGAAAGAGCAATAACAATACGTTGTTAGAAAAAGTACCCTAATAGGTGCCTTGACACTAGTTACGCTTGATGCAAGTTACAAGAACATGCTAGAGTGGGTATCTGACTCCCATGCAGGCCTGGGAGAGGCTGGGTGGAGCGGGGAGCAGGGTGGGGCCTGCCGGGGGAGGACAGCCTCCAGATGGGGACACTCCCTACCACAGGCACCTTGTCAGCAGCTATTATCAGAGAGTCACCGCCTCGGTCACCCGGCAGAGCTGTGAGCGTGCGATGGGTCACGTCTGAGCAATGGCGGCACGGGAATGGGCTTTCGTGCCCGGGTACAATGACGTCACATCTCAACCAGAAACAGACGGCCACGTGGTCGGCAGCCCGGCTAGTGGAGCCGGCTGATCAGGTCAAGGTAACGCCCGAGGACACACAGGCCCAGGACTCCCACAGGAGAACCCCGCTCCCTGTCTGCTGATTACCAGGAGGGTGTAACCAAAGGCTGCATCTGGCCCAGAAATGACCACAAGCAACAGACGCTCAGAGGTTCTGTTCTGCCATGCCAGGAAAGCAAGCGGTACAGTCATGGTTGATGAGTCTTACACCCCATTAGAACCTCAACCCCAAGAGAAATCTTATTTTTTCTGATGTTCTCAGTGCCTGATAGTGGAACTTACCCAAAAGCTGTTTGTGGAATGGCTGAATGAGAGTGCAAGATACCCTAAAGACTTCCAATTTCCCTACTTTGCCCCTGGTATTTTCACTTTAAAAGCGGCAGATGGGTGGGAAAACTAATTATCTAGATCATGCACAACAGACATCTTAAATAACAGTTATCTTCAATAACCTTTGGATTATTGTTCCAGTTCATTAAGTTGTTATGCATCCAACTTGAATGACAAGCAAGGTGAAGCCAAGAGAATCAGAAACTCATTCTAATACTCGTTTCTTAAACTGGAAACTTCCATACAACACAGTTTCTTAGGGCAGATAATCTGTACATATTTGGTTTTCTTCTTTAGATGGTCTTTGCTTCTATGGACTGTCAGCGTTAAAAACAGGAAACAGGACAAGATGATTTACAAGTGATAAAAAGATGACAGTCATTCACTGACTCAGTCAATAAAGATGAGATGCCTACTGTACGTCAGGTACCATGTGAGGTGACGGGGATACTCTTACACAAGAGTTTGTACCCTCAAGGACATACAGCCCTAAGCTAACATTTATTGAGCACTTACTGTATGCTAAGGGTTTTACATACTTTTAACTCATTTAATCCTCATGACCCTGTGAGGTAAGTTCAGAGAGAAAAATAATTTTCCCAGATTGTGTACCACGAGGAGAGGCTGGGATTTGAATTCAAGCAGACTGATTCCAGAGCCTGTGTCCTTAAGCTTCATGTTTTTTCTCTTGAGCAGGTGATATGGACACCAGGCAATGGCCAAGCAACATGATCAGTGCCACCCTGATCAAGGCAGATGAGTACCAAAAAAGCACCCAGAAGGCACGCCTAGTCCTAGCTTGGGAATGCTCAGGGAAGGCTTACGGAGGGAGTGACAGGGAAGTTAGCCCAGAGCAATGGGGAAGGAGAAGGCAGGGGGTCCTAGGCAGAGGGACTGTCACCTACAAAGACCAGGAGACAGAGAAAGCACCGTGCCTCCAGAGCAATGCCATGGCGGGGGGGCAGGGGGTGGGGAAGTGACATGAAGCTGTGGAGAGAAGCACTGAAGGGAGGGAAGAAAGTGGCCGCTGCAGCCCTTCACTGGCCTGCCTCTCTCCAGGCGGAGGTGCGTATCTATCCCTGATGATAAGGAAGCAGGGGAGGGTGCTGGGACCTGGGCGAGGTCCAGTGTGGGCTACATGAGATAAAGCAACAAGTGCCCATCCTACCCATTCTAGTCTTTTGTTAGTCTCTAATTGATCATATTGTAAGCATATGACAAACAGCAAACATAATACAGACTAATTGCAATAACTGCAAATTTTGCAAACAGTGGATTTGATGAACTTGACAGGTAACGCTAGAAAACTGCTCCAATCTCAAGCAAAGCCACTGGCAACTGGGACCTGGTAGACTCAGGGGTGACAGTAAAGGGAGAGGCGATCGCTTATTAAAGAGTGGTGTGAATATCGAGAGAGTGCCGTCCACAGGAAAACTGAGGGAGATCTGTTTTGTTTGTTTTTGGCCTTGTTGAGCAGGATGAGGGATCTTAGTTCCCTTTCCAGCAATTGAACTTGTGCCCCCTACAGTGGGGGCGTGGAGTCTTAACCTCTGGCCAGCCAGGGAAGTCCCAGGTCTCATGTATTTTGGAAAAAATCCCCTCTATGATTATGCTGCAAAAATGAGATGGGAAGAATATTGTAGGATGCTAAATATGGTTTCACTCAAAAAATCATGTAATTCTTTAATATTTTTGAAATTACAAGCTTTTATAATTCTGTTCAGTTTTCATGATGAAATTCCCCACTAGACTTCCTCTCCCCCCCACCCCCTGCCCATCCCTACCGTATACAATGAAACTCTGGTCCCCATTTTAAGTGGATTCACTTTTAGGTGAAATTTTTCTGGTGCCAGCCCTCTCCCTGAGCTAAGCAAGCCCTCTGCTCTCAGCAGCCTAGGAGGAAGGCTGTGTCACAGCAGATTTTGTATGGAAAGGCAAAATATTTCCTACAACGGAGTCCTTTTTCTCTCACCCCCTTAAGAAGTCACTGGGCGGGGGGCGGCGCGGGTAAGAATGAAGACAAGAGCCTGTGCTTGGTTTGCCTTCTATCCCTGTCATTATTCCCAGCTGCCAGTCAAGGACCAGCACAGCACAGGACAAAACCCCCAGCTGCACACTCGTCACATCCTCACTGGCTGGGCCTCACGACCCACCCTGGGACCCCCGTCAGCATTCCTGGGCTACTGAGAAAGGAAGCGCCACAATACAGGCCCTGAGAACAGCTGTGAGACCTCGTGACTCTCTAATCCTGTGATGCAATCCAGTAGTTTTGAAGGATATCGTCAAGGGCCATGCAACGAAGAGTCATCAAATACATTTGCTCAAAAGTCTATGAACAGTGTACACATCCAAACTTCTCCCTACAATTTTAAATAAAAGCATAACTCTGTACAGATAGTCTGAGAATGTCAGAGCTGAAAACAACTCATACTTAAACGGACTTCATGTTTCAGATGAAGGAAATTCAAATGCTAGGCCTGGGTCAGCAAACTTCTGTAAAGAGTTAGCGAGTAAACAGTTTAGACTCTGGGCCATATGGTCTCTGTCACAGCTCCTCAACTCTGTTGTAGCAGAAAAGCAGCCGCAGACAATACATAAACAAATGTGTGGTTGTGTTCTGATACAGCTTTATTTATGGACACTGGAATTTGAGTTTTACATTATTTTTCACATGCTACAAAAATATCGTTTCTTCTTTTGACTTCAACCATTTAAAATTGTAAAGAGCCCGCTTTTAGTGGGCCAAACAGGTGGTAGGTAGACTGGATTTGGTCCCTGGGCCCCAGTATGCTGACCTCTGTCCGAGGCCACTCTGACACCCAAGTGTAGACTGTAGTGTGATATCTTGTTTATTTGTCCTTTGCTTTTCCCACCCACATTGAAGACTCTGATCTGCTTCATCATAAACTGCACAAGGAGCTCTATAAATGTCTTCTACATTTTAGAGGAGTCATATTAAGATCTGTCAGAAACATATGCCAGGCAGCAGCTGAAAGACCACTGATATAATGCTATATTGTGCATTGAACAAAAACAATCAAGAGGAAAATATAATAAATTTGAGCAACTCACTAAATTTGAAAAATAGGCTTTATTTTAACCAGTGGTATTGTATAACATCCTATATGGCATAACTGATTACAGTCAAGTTCATGAATACAAATAAGACGGCATTTTCCTTCATTCTCTCTTTTGTTTCCTGTTCAGAGAAATCAGGAGATGGGACCATTGCGCTCAGAAACCAAGGAGCTCTTCTTCCACAGGCTCCTCCAGCTGAGTCCAGGCTCCTGGCACATTCAGCCTCTTAACATGTATATGGTCTCATGTGCAAAGACCTTTATGAAAAAAAGTATTCAGAGCAGTATTTCTGTAGGAAATCACACTCGCATTTACAACAAAACATGGCTGATAAAATTCATCTTGCTGTGGATCATGAGGATTTGAACTGCATATAAAGGAGATGAGGACTTTGCGTTCATTTTCCTTTAAAGAGGGGGCAGATCTTGGGTGAGGTGTGATCACCATCAGCTGCCTCCTTCCTTCTTGCTCCAGTTGACTTGTGGGTCCTACCCTGTCCCTCTGGAGTGCAGGTAGTGCTGCACCGTGACAGAGAAATGGAAACATCTTGGCCCAAATATGAGATTCTGTCACACAGGCAACACTGGAAGTGGATCTACACTTTTTTCTTTCACAAAAGGTTTAAATATATGGGCCCTTATGTATCACAAGATGCCTGAAATTCAGAAAATTATGAAAACAACTCTTTTCCACCCCTGAGGATATTTCATCTTTATAAAGTTGAAAATACAAAATATTAAAATAATTTGCCCTTTCTCCCCATCAAAAGGAATCACATTCTCAAAGGATTCCTGCCATATAGAAAATTCTGAAACAAAAATTTATTTCTCCCCAAACCAAGACCAGGAAGTCAATGTTAAGCTGCCAAGAAGACCCTTTTCCAAAGAAGGGTGGAAAAGATACCTCATCGTTTTTTTAAAAATAATCATATTTAGACAAGGATAGCAAAAGGAGTTTCTGGCCTCATGAGCTTTTATTTTTCACTTTGATTTTCAGCATGTCTTAGCACTGGTTACTGGGAGTGAAGAGAATGACTTGTTTTCCAAAGTCTAAGATATTCCTGGGACAAACCCTGATCTTTCCTGGTTGATGGCTCCCCAAAAATAGTTGTTGAAAACCAGATGGCAAGAATGGAAATGCTATACATCCATCTGTTCCATTTCTTCATAGTTTTCACATCAAAAGCACCTGGAGTTATCACTTGTGTTCAACACAAAATAGTACTGGGGGCTGAAGAGAGGATGACGTCACCTGCCCTTAGCATCAGCCGAGGTGACACGGGTTCTGAACTACCCATAAGGTCTTCACTGGCAAACCTGCCTGGCACCAGGGCCTCCCGAAGAGAACAGGACAAGCAGCCGTGCATGCTCAAGTAGCAAGAAGTGCAAAACAGATCATCACTCTGCTAGGAATAAAGAGCACACAGGAGGGACACTGACAGCAGGAACCAGCTCTGACTACTGGGGCCAGTACTTAAGCAATCTCTGCACTGAAGGAGGGGTGTGCAGAGGAATGGCAATGGCACCTGGGGGTGGGGCGGGGCGAGGGAGGAGGAGAGGGAAGGACATACACGCATGCCCGCACATGCACACGTGGTGCCTCTGAAGGCGCCCTGGCTCCTCTGGGTCCACAAGTGGTCGTCCGACAGCCTGACTACTTGCCTGGCTCGGAACCTCATCTGCTGCACTCTCTTAACCACACTTTCTCCTCTCCTTTTAAGGCACAAACATATTTAATGGTTTCAGGTATACCTGCTGAGTTCCGAGAACCACACTAAGCAAGTTAGTCATAGACTTAGTGCACAGAAGCCAGCTGGTCCTTTTGGGCTGGCACAGAACGAGGGACAGCTCCCCATGTGAAGCAGCCAGGAGGTGTGAGCCTTCTCTCTGTGCCACCGTGGGATGTGGTCAAACCCAACCCTCAGCATCAAGGCGGGGCCACAGGAGAGGCCAAGATGGCAAAAGCATGACTGGGGTCTGGGATGTTTAATATTTTTTTACTTTGCTTTTAACAAACCATACAAGGTGGCAGCTCTTGCCTGCCTCGCGGCCTCTCACGAACAAGAGCAAGCAGAGGCTGCCACGGAGCATCTGTCACTCCACACAGAGTCACTGTGATAGTTTGTTCATCATGTTTTACCCTCCCACAAAGTCAGACACACACACACACACACACACACACACGCACACACGCGCGCACACACACACACCCCTTCCACCATGGAGGAAATCTTTGCGACAAGAGGCACTTGAATGATATTTTGAGAGTTCTCATGAAAAGGCCTTCCCCTCACAGTGAAGTGGGATCAACAGAATAGAAACCAGACACTCAAGACTCCATCTCTTCTTGGTCAAGGGGTGGCGGCACGAAGCTGATGACTTCATCATAGGTCAGGCCTAGAAACCAGGAAGGAAAAGGAGGATGTGAGAGTTCAGACACTCACTTTGCTGGGAAGCCACCCTAGCTTCTAAGCTCAAGACCCTCCCCTCCCTGTCCAGGCTACTGGTTCAACAGGCCTCACTGCTTTTTGTGAACGTGTGATGACCCAAAAGTTCAAGGATGCATATAAAAGAACAATTTTTTGTCATCAGTGCCTCTTCTTTAAAGCTCTCTGGAGAAGATGCTTAAAAGTAGCAAAACAATTATTTGGGAAATGTACTAACAATGTGAAAGTGAAAGTCGTTCAGTCCTGTCTGACTCTTTGCGACCCCATGGACTATACAGTCCATGATATTCTCCAGGCCAGAATAGCAGAGTGGGTAGCCTTTCCCTTCTCCAGGGGATCTTCCCAACCTAGGGATTGAACCCACATCTCCCTCATTGCAGGTGGATCTTCTACCAGCTGAGCCACAAGGGAAGTCCCCCATATGCTACAGCAACAGATTATCCTGGCTTTGGGATTTAACTCAAGTTCTGGATTTGTGTTTTATGAAGAGAATATGAGACTGGGTCTAGGAGACCTGGGTTCCATTTCTGGCTGTATCCTTAACTAGGTCTAAGCTAAGAGTTAAGATATAAATGCTCTTCATTGTTTGTAAAGTTCTATTGTTTGTAAAGCTGTAAAAATTCCCTATTCCCTACTAAGCTCAAAGAGATGGTATAAATGCAGAAATTCTGAGAACCTCAAAGCTCTATGCAGACGTGAGGGGCTGTGCACAAAATCAGACCAGACAGAAGCATCTCAAAGGTCCATCATCTACAAAGAGGATCATACTCATACAACAGAGGAACATACTCATTCCATGGAAGAGACCCTCACTGCAAGTTTTAATGAGTTGGATATAAACAGAAAAAAATTCCCCCCACCCTCACAGATTTTGGTTAGTGGCTCACCTAGGAAAGATTTTTAAATCTAGGTTCTCAAAAAGCTAGATGTTCATCCTGCTATGACTTACTTTTCCATTCGTCTATAAGGAGGTCCCTGCTTTCAAAAGACTGATCGTAAGGATCAGCCACTGGTTCGTCATCAGGATCATGGTACTGGGCAAAGTAGGCATGTGCAAGGGCTTGTGCTGCTGTAATTCTCTTATCTGAGTCCAATACAAGCATCTTCTCCAGCAGGTCGACAGCTGTCAATACCACAGATGGGAAGGAAAAATGAAGAGTTTTTAACACATTACCAAAAATTTATGCTTTACTAAGCAAACACAGAGTTTCAATCCTTCATACCCAAACAAAGAATTCTCCAAAGTTTCTGCTCTGAGATATATTACTTATATTTTATTTACTTTATATCTTTATCTATATATACATATTTTGCTGAATCATTTTAAAATAAAATTACAGACATGCATTTTTACCTCTAAATATTTCACCATAAAGATAGCTTCCTATACAATCATGAAACTGTTATTGCATCTGACAAATACATAATCCCCAAACATCACCTAAGATCCAGGTCATGTTAAGTTTTCTTCAATTATCTTAAAGTTGTTTTTTATATCTAGTAACTCGTTCAAACCAGGATCCAATTAAGGATCATGCATTTCATTTTGTTGAGTTTCCTTAGTCTCTTCTATTTCTAGAAGAGACTCTAGACCTAACCCTATTTTTCCTAACTTTGACCTGAAAAGACTCCCCCACAAAACCGTCCTGTGCTATCATGTATCCATACCCTTGTTTTCCTCTGTCCCCTGTATTTCCTGAAAACCCTGGTCAATCTAAAATTTGGTAAGAACTGGGTTAAACATTTTTGGCAAAAATATTTCATAGGTGAAGCTGTGTACTTAATGGCACATTAGGGCCATCTGTCCCATTAATAATGACGCTAAATTTCATCACTGGGTTAAGCTGTTTCTTTTTTGCTTTAAGCAAGTACCCTGTCAGCATTAGGTGAGTATCAGTTTCTTTCACTTATAGCTTTCAGCATCCATTGATTTTCCTTCCCAGCAACTATTTCATTAGCTGGAGGGGTCGCAGAACTGTGGGTTTTTACCCCCGTCTAATTCTTATAAATGATGATGTTTTGAGTTTCAGAATGGTAGCACCTGGGAGGACAAATAATAAATGACCACAGTTATCACTTTTGTGAAGCAAAGGCATCTGTGGCCTTGCAAATTATTGATTGTTCTTTAAATGTGGGAGGGCGCAGGGATGGGTAGTGAAGGCGGGCAGGGGGAGAGGGGGGTCCTTTTCCTGAAGAGATCCACACTGTGTACACTGGAGGTTGTAAAAGACTCCCATCCTTCAGGCTCAATTTCAGAGCTGAATTTCTTCCAAAAGAGAAATGTGGGTTTCCAAGGAATACAGTAACAAAGTGAATATTTATGTGTCAAGTTCATAAGTTTACACCTTAAAGCACTCAGAAAATTGCCTAGACATATATTCTCTTCTTAGAAACAATAACCTCATCAGGTGCTGTCTCGATCATATGATCGAGAGTCTTTGCCACCCCAGGGTAAAATGAACTATGTCCTTATAACCAACACCTTGATAAATAAGATCAAGGTTAAGAAAAAGATTCCTCTAAGATCCTGACAGATACAAATACACACGCATCAAACAGCAACTTAAGTTTTACTTCATGTTTTGAGAATAATGGTGAAACATGAAGTCAGTGACGGACAAAAAAGGGCTGTCAATATTTACACTGTTGGTGTATTCCTGCTGGGTTAACATGCTGGGCATGAGTTCCTGGTCAGGTTACACCATGTTCTGCCTGTAAGAAGAGACTCTTTATACGACGTCAGCACTTGGCAGTGGACTGGTAGATCTGTGTAAATACTGAGAACTGCAGTGCTGGGTAGCAGGTGGCCCAAAGCCTTCTTCAGCTCACTTGCTGTCTACAGTGCTAAGTGGTATCCAGTTTTTCTGAATGATTAAATGTCACGATTCCAGAGAAGTGGGATGCTTATCAGGATGGAAGTGACCCCAACAAACTGCCGGGACACACATACCTCCCCTTCCCTAGAAGAATGAATGAACAAATCACTTTGAGCCCAACCATCAGGAAATCAACAGTGAGCACTGCCATGTCTAAAACATGAGCTGAGATGATGAAAAAATTCATAACAGAATTAAAGACAAGGACGCTACCAGCTTACAACATAATTTCCTAATATCCTACAGTCCTTAATGACTCAAAGAGAGCTTCTCACAGACCCTTGAACTAGATAATACAGTATAAATAAATCATACAAAGCCAGTGAGAGCAAACCAGGGCAGATGCAAACCCAAACCAACCCTGGTAGAATTCTGTATACCCCTGATGAGTCTGTGGATTTATTCTTAGACGTAAGCGTGATCCAGCTGAGACCTGACACATTCTCCATCTCCAAGGCCGACAAGCTCAACACTTCAGAGAGCATGAGCATTTCTGCTATTCTAAGAATTATCATAGCAACACTAAACCGCTCTCAAGCAATCACTGTGGATGAAGTACTTAGAAAGGTAAAGTCACTTAGCCTTCACTCGAACTTCTGAAGAGGCTGTCGTCAGCTCTCAGAAGGATGAAACTAAACCCGAAGCACAGCTGCTGGGATCCTTAAGCAGAAGAATGACTGAAACCGAGATTTAAAAACATACTACTAAGATACAACTTCAGAAAAAAAAGAAGGTTGATCATATTATCATCACAGCGTTGCTCCACTCTCGTCATAGGGAGGGCCGTGTCTGATTTTTCTGTTGTTCAATCCCTAAGTTGTGTCCGACTGTGACGGTAGCAGGTCAGACTCCTCTGTCCTCCACTATCTCCTGGAGTTTGCTCAAGTTCATGTCCATTCAGTCGGTGATGCTGTCTAACCATCTCATCCTCTGCCGCCCCTTCTCCTTTGGCCTTCAATCTGTCCCAGTATCAGGGCCTTTTCCAATGAGTTGGTTCTTTGCATCAGGTGGCCAAAATATTGGAGCTTCAGCATCAGTCCTTGCAATGAGTATTCAGGACTGATTTCCTTTATGATGGACTGCTTGGATCTCCTTGCAGTCCAAGGGACTCTCAAGAGTCTTCTCCAACACCACAGTTCAAAAGAATCAATTCTTTGGCGCTCAGCTTTCTTTATAGTCCAACTCTCACATCCGTACTTGACTACTGGAAAATCCATAGCTTTGACTAGACGGACCGTTGTTGGCAAAGTGACATCTCTGCTTTTTAATATGGTGTCTAGGTTTGTCACAGCTGTCCTTCTAAGGAGTAAGCATCTTTTAATTTCATGGCTGTAGCCACTGTATGCATTGATTTTGGAGCTCAAGAAAATAAAATCTGCCACTGTTTCCACTCCTATCTGCCAGGAAGTAATGGGACAGGATGCCATGATCTTAGTCTTTTGAATGTTGAGTTTCAAGCCAGCTTTTTCACCCTCTTCTTTCACCCTCATCAAGAGGCTCTTTAGTTCCTCTTCACTTTCTGCCATTAGAGTGGCAACATCTGTATGTCTGAGGTTGTTGATTATTTCTCTGGGCAACGTTTAATTCCAGCTTATGACTCATCCAGCCTGGCATTTTGCACAATGTACTCTGCATGTAATTAAATGAGCAGAGTGACAATATACAGCATTGTCATACTCCCTAATTTTGAACCAGTCATTTGTTCCATGTCTGGTTCTAACTGTTGCTTCCTGACTCGCATACAGGTTTCTCAGGAGACAGGTAAGGTGGTCTGGTATTCCCATCTCTTTAAGAATTTTCCATGGTTTGTTGTGATCCACACAGTCCAAGAGGCTTTAGCATAGTCAATGAAGTAGAAAGTACATGTTTTTCTGGAATCCTCTTGCTTTCTCCATGATCCAATGAATGTTGGCAATTTGATCTCGGGTTCCTCTGTGTGTTTTCTGAACCCAGATTGTCCATCTAGAAGTTCTTAGCTCACGTACTGCTGAAGCCTAGCTTGAATGATTTTGACCATAACCTTGCTAGCATGTGAAATGAGCTCAACTATACAGTAGTTTGAATGTTCTTTGACATTGCCTTTCTTTGGATAGCACTGTCCCCCATCTTTTCCTAGAGTCAGGGGATTAGAACCTCAGGCAAATGCCACTTTTGGGGACCAAAAGAAGTACACAACAGCCCGCAGTTTTAAGGAACAAAGCAACTCCTTTTCAGCCAAGGTAGTACACATCCTGCAGCTGCCACGGTCACGTCCCTTTGCCAAAGACCCTGGAAATGGTGGCGATAGGAAGGAAGATAGAGCCATTCTTCAAAGCTTCACAAAGAAGAGAGAATGGTTAGGTGTCTGAAGGCAAAAGAGGACAGGGGAAGGGAAAAGGACGTGAGGATGACAGGATCTGTAGCACTGGGGAGCTGCAGGCAGAGGGGGCCACACTGCAGGGTGCACCGGGGTGGGGTCGCTAACTACACTCTGTGCTTTGTTTCCAGCCTCAGTGCTGACACCGCAAAACAGCAGCAGTCATGACCGAGTCACAGGCTTTCCTCTGTTTCTCTTCCTTCTGTGTCCCTCGGTCTCTTCTCCCAGCGTTCCCATTACTTTCTTTCCTTTCTTCACTGTTCCCACTTATTTCCCCCATCAAATTCTGTGATCATATATTTAAATGATATAAGCATGTCATGAGATAAACAACCTGACAGTACAAACATGGATAACATAGCATTATTTATTACCTTCCGAGATTTAATTAACAGTACATTATTTAGTCAAAAGGATCCCTAACTTATGTCACAGCCAATTCAACATCCACAAGAGGAGGATACAGTCAACTTACCCAAGGGATTGGCACCAATAAATACATTTGCAAAGTTCATCTTCGGCATCTGGGTCAAAGACTGAATATAGTTTCTTGCCTGCAAAACAAAGGGTTTTCAAAATGGCTTTGTTCAATATTTTTACTGCTCTCAAAGATTCCTGGTCCTGTCATAGAGCAAGTGTTAACTGACAAAGTCTGCTAGCTTCAATGTTTATGAATGTTGTTGATATTCATCACAGACTTCTCTCTCCCGCCATCCTAACCTTCTTATTTACCATCATCATCTTTATTTATTCCTGCTATCTCTCACAGTTAAATTTCAAGTGAACAAAAATGCTAACCAGCTAAGTTCCCATTCATTAGCATTCTGGTCACATGATCAGAAGTTTAAAACAATGAGGCCAAGATACCTGAGAAGTAGCCCTTTCTGAGATAGTCTTCCTGAAAAAGCTGAAGTTGGCATAGGGTTTAGTATTCCCAAAGAAAGTCTAAGATTAACCATCTTTTGATGAGCTGATCTTATCAGGGACTCTCAGTATATTAAAAGGATGTCAGTATTAAACCTTCTTAACAAAATATTTTTGGTAACAAGGAAATAAACATAAGCTTTATATTATGCTAAGAGGTTCAAACACATTTAAAAAAAATACTAAACCAACTTAATAAACATAATAAAGAATAGTGGATTATAAGTCATACAGCTTAGGCAGAAATCTTTCCCCTACCACTTATAAGATACATCTTCTTGGGAAAGTCTTAACTAGTGTATCAATGACCTCATCTTTAAAATATTAGTATTACTATTAGTTATTAGTATTTGGCTTGCCTATATCATATGGCTATCGTGATACTCAAGCAAGATAAAACTAGTGAGAGAGCTTCCAACTAAAATTTTGACACAAAAGAACATTTATATACAAATTCAGATTTTATAATGTTTGGTTCTTGGGGTGGGACAGACTTGAATTACTTCTCTCTTTTAAGTCTTGAGTTCTTCATCTATAAAGTGGGATTAACAACAGTGCCAACCTCAAAGGGCAGGAGAGAGGACTTGTGATAACAAACCAATACCCTCCTTAGCACCATACTTGGGTTCAGTGGGAGAGCTCAAATAAACATCAGCTGCTACACTGTTGCCTTTAGAAAGGAAAGCCTGCTGTCAATTTCTAAGGATGTTTCAATTGATAATTTCTGGACTTTATTCTAAGGAACTCAAGGTGCTAAAATACTTTCAAGGGCTGATAGCTCTAAATAAAGGCAAAAATATACACACACATAAAAAGGTCAGAAAAAATTCTAGCTGCTGGGCAACTTCACCTTCTTTTTAAATTTTTAAAAATTTATATATGTATATAAAAATTAGATCACTAATATTAATATATATAATATTAGTTTAAGGTCTATAACAGTGATTCAAACTTCTTATAAATTATATTCCATGTAGAGTTATGCTATATTTCCTATCCTTGTAGCTTTCTTTTTTTTACATAGTAGTTTGTTCCTCTTAATAACTTCTTCTTAAACACTGTATGCAGAGCAAACAGGAGAGGCCCACTTTGAGAAGCAGCTGAGAATCTTTTCAATTGGAAAAGAAAGCTCTAGGAATTGAATTATTGACAAGCCTGTTATCCCTTCCTACTTGAGCATGTAGATGAGAGAAGAAAGGGAAAACAGAGGTGAGAGAGACCATGTCATACAGAGAACAGTCTTACCTCTAAAAAGATAAATAAAAAGACTACCTGAATAAAGCCATGTGGCTAACCTGATTCCCAAAAAGATTAAGGACATCTTACAAAGAAGTGCCCCAATCACCTCTGATGGTAAAAGTAGACTTAGGTTAAGTAGTCAAGCATTGGTAAAAAAAGGCACCTGACCCTCTCTAAGTGTTCCTAGTTTTCTACATTATTTGCATATTTTATTTTAAACATAGAACTTTTCAGCATTAGATATTTTATAGGTGTTTTTAAATAAAGGCTCTTCTTTTGGTCATTAAGAAAATGGATAAATAGGAAAATGTGCTAATGGCCTTCAGTTAATACACCTCCAATTAAAAACTATTCGATGGTAGCATACCCTGACTGTAGGCACAGGACCCTAGGAAAACACAAACCTCCTCTTGAGCACTAAATTCATAAATAACATCATTTTCTATGTACAAGCCTATAAATTATATTCTCCATTCACAGGACTGGGTGACATTTTAATCCCAAACGTCAAGTCTTGTAATAGCACTTAGACAGTCATTGCCTTAGTCGCCCTAGAGGCGCATGCAAACATTCAGTGACGTTACAATCTGTGTTGGTTATACAGCGGCAATAAAATGTGAATGTGGCCTTCTGAATTAGATACTCCTCAACAGTCAATTTGTTCTCACCTCATGGCTTGGCATCCTGTTAATGAGATAAGCAGGGGGAGTCCCCGTCAGACGCATAATCTGCTGAAGCTGGTTAATATCTTAAGATGCCTAGTCAAGGGCATTGTTAAGCATACAGTGCAAAAAATAACTTTCAACTCAAAAAGTTTTAGAAAGGCCAAAAAGCCACCCCCAAACAAAAAATCTACTCCCACCCACCCCACCCAACCCAGGTCAGAGCCCAAGGCTGCATGTGAAAGCATGCATCTGTGAATGGCATGAGAGTTAGTAGCCATGGAGCCAGTGATGGGCCAAGTGGAGAAGAAAAACTTTTTTTTGGTTTTAGCATGATCTTTAACATGAAATATTTACGCTCCCTGGAAAGAGACTGCCCCTTGACCCGGGATGCCAGCCAGAGAACTGTTTCTAAGTACTGATGGCCACAACCTGTTTGTATGTGGGGTAAAGGAAGAGGATTCAGAACATTTTGATCCGACTTCAGAAAAAATAAAATGTCCAATGTAACCATTTCATGTACATGTTAAATTTTTGTGGCACAGGTTCTGGTGATTCTCTAAAATACCACCCCTCCTTAATGTTAAGACCAAGGTGGTATGTGTGTTGACACGCAAGGCCAAGCTTTAAAGACAGTAGTTAGTGATACATTTAAAATACATGCCACAAACACACAGTGTAAGTGAAGGGGAATGGGGGGGAAAATGAGAAGCTAACAGCAGAGACAAAACAGAAGTCACAGCTGCCGATGGTATTACAGCATGCCACAATGATTTCTCCCACAAGTCTCTTTAACAGGTGAACAGACTGACTTCGCTTAAAAAACATCCGGGAGGAAGCTGGCAAAACACTCTGAGTATCTGATCTGACAGAGGCAGAACTCTGAGGTTTTCCCAATGTATGCGGACATAGGTACACTGCACTCTAACTTTCTCTCTTTTAGCTGGCCCATCAATTTTAACACCATCACAGGAACTGTTAGTCTGTCATGTGTTGCTGCTAAAGCGGAGTGGTGGGATTTTTAAAATCCTCAGCACAATAAAAACCTTTTCATATCCCCTTTCTTGGTGTTTATTAATTCCCTCCTTCTCTTGTAGCACCATTTTCAGTAAGTACCGTAATCAAATAATTTCACTTCTTTGTGGCTTCTCTCAATGATCTTTCCAGTTGAGCTCATCCTCAGAACTTAAATTCCTTAGTGGTCAGATTACTACAAACACATGTTTAAGGCTGGCTGTTAGGAAAGAGCTGGAGCCATGGCTCCACCCTGCCTCTCATGCTCCCTGGCCCAAAGACAGGCCAGCAAATCCAAAAGATGGTGTGAAGTTCTTCCAACATTCTCAATAAATTCAGGTTTACCTCTAAACAAATTACATAACAAACAGTACTCTGCATGCTAAGAGAAAGAAACAAAAGGGGGTCACTAACTAAGCCAGCAATAGTAATATCAGCTGCGTTTTAAAATGTTGAAATCCTGCCACCTTTCTCTTCTTTTCTGTGAACAATAACTTGGTCTGTACATTTCCGTGTTTTGGGTTTTTTTTTTTTTATCTTCTTTAGTCAAATAGGTTATTATATCCCCTTTTTGTCAGGAGTTCAGGAAGAAAATATTTTCAGCAAAAATCTGGACAGTGAGTCAGTGAAAGGGCTTTTGTTTTCTTCATATGATTTATTTTTTATTTTTGTCCTTTCACTGATTACTATAGGTATTGGGTCACCAACCAAAAAATATTCTCTGGACATCCATCATGACTCATTTACCCTCTTTCTCACAGCACATTCTAATTTATTCTCAGTCAGTCCAACTATTCCTATACTCTCTTACTCAGAATGTTCTCATATTTATTGACTGAATTCCATCAATCAATAATAATGGCATCACTTCACTACCTTTCAGGAGTAAGGAAAATAGCTATTGGCTTTCTCGGTTTACTACATTCCTTCACTATTACATTTTTCTTTTCATGTTGAAAAGTTTTAAACAATTTTACTCACTTGGCTTTGATATTTAGACATCATGTTTCACACATCACCTGCTTCTAAGATAAACTGGTACTTGAGCAGTATTACTAACATCAAATTAATCTTGTCTACTCTTTTCAATGTTTAAATTAGTTTTTGTGCACTCACCGTAAGGGAAAAAAAAACATATTTTCTTATTCCTATACTCAATGTGCAATGTTATTTAACTTCTGTATTCTGATACTCAAATTTATTAAGCTCAACTCTATGCGAGAGATGTTGAAATGTATGATGCGCTCTATTTCACATACATTTCATTACTAGGGCAGGCAATTAAAAAAAGGATTACAACAGGTAAATATTATCATTTTATACCCACCCTTTTTCTTCTAACAGCACATATCTATAGGGCAGATGGCTAAGGGTGGGTGAGAAGACTGAGAAAGAGCTGCTAGTGGCCATCCCCAGACAGAGGATGCATTTGCTATCTCCATCTCATGAAGCTATTCAGTAATAAACTGAGCTCCTCCCTAACCCTACCCCCTTGCCCCCATGTCCTATTAGACAATCTTTCTAAGCAAAAGCATTTAAAACAAAAAGGCACCATCTTCTCTAAGCATCATCTCATCTCTTCTTTGATTCATTCCAATCCAGCTCCTGCATTTCAAAAAGCAAAAAGAAAACACTCCTGGCTGACACTCTGGTCAATAACTCTGACAATGACTTTCAAAACAGTGTGCAATCGCATGAGATTAAAGTCTAGAACATGCTATCAAAACATCTGGGATGTAAACTCGGCTCTGCCAAGTGACGGGTTCGTGACTTGGGCAAGTCCCAGTCTCCCTGTGCTTTAGCTTCATCTTAAGTCAGTGAAATAAATGAAAAGCCTGCCTCTGACTACCCAGCAGGCTTTCCAACAGGGCAAAGGAATCCTTCAGTCAGAAACGCTGGGAGGAGAACCCAGAAGCCAGCACTGTAACCTGGCCTCACAGCTCTTTTTCCCTTTTATCCAACTGCCTGGCAGCAGACAGATGGGAAACGGGAGAAGGACTGGGCTTTCCTCATTTCTCTCACATCTGTGGCCCAAGAAAATGACCAACAGTAGGAGCCAAAGTAAGCCAGAGTCACATTCCCATGGCTTCCCTCTAAATGCCTGCTTAGAAGCAGGAAGGCATTAGCTCCAAAGCTTTTTCTCAGGGTACTCAAACTTGTAATTACACAGGCAGGCTGTGGGAGAAGGATTTACAACCCTCATCCTGTGGATCTGAGGTGTTAGGAGTGGGGATGTTACCTCTGATGGTCTGGAGACAGGGTAGACACAGACCCCTGTGGAGGACAGACACCTTACACAGGATGTACAAGTTGTCTATTCTAAAGCAATAAAAAGCAAGTAACTTCTGGAAAAGGGCAAGAGAGTGCAGGCAACACACTCTTCATTCTTTTAGTGATAAAGCTAGACTGATATACGGTAAAGCTCATGCTTTGAGGATAAATACTAACCAAAAAAGTGAAAGGAGCCCTTGAGTGCAACTTTGAGAAAGATGATGTCAGGGCTGGAGAATGGAGACAACAAATTTTCCATCTCCTGGAATGAATCAGAATCTCAGATCTCACTTACTGTGATAGTACTGCCCAACACAAGCTCCCATGCTCTAGTACTGTACCCAGAGAGAGAGAAAACAAAACACACTCATGCATGTGAGCAGGCAGGTACACGTACACACACACCTCATCCTGGAGTCAGCACACAAAGGGCACATGTGCTTACAAACATACCCAGGTCAAAGTACAGACTGACAGAAGGGAAGTGGCAGAGGCTCCCAGCAGGGCAGATAATTACAATCAAGGCATCAACTCACAGACTCTGAGGAGATTTTCTTCAAAAGCTCAGCCCCTGGGGTTCCAACGAGTCTTAAAATGAGCTTCAACTGATCAATATCTAATGGTGGACTATAAAGGAAAATGTTGGGACAAAATAAAAATGAAAAGCAAACAAAACAAACAAACAAAATACCCCAATAACAAAAACTTAAAACCCCAAATCAAGCCAAAATGGTAAATTCATCTAGGTCAAGGTTTCTGCAGGATGGTCACTTCAAGTAGAACATGCTCCTCCTGTACAAATTTTCAAAAGCTACCACACACATACCCGACTTATATTTATTTTGTGCATCTGTCAACATCCCCTGTCAGTAGAGTTAAGCAGCTGTGGCTGGGTACTTAGCTGCCAAAGACAGCAGGTGAAAACATAAAAGCAGCACTCAGTCCATACGCTCAGCCCACACCTACCTCCTTCCCTTCCACCAAAGCACCAGGAGCCAGTCACGCGAAGACCACCAGTCAGCAGAGGCCACAGAGAAGGAAGCAGCAGAGAGCACAGGAGCTGGGATATACACAAGCCTACCTGTGACTACCCCTCTAAGGCGTGGCCCACGGAGCCTGTAACACGACAGGCTGCATGACCTGCAAAGATCCCAGGGCCCAGCCAGCTGAGAGGCCCTCCCGAGACCCTCTCCTGGCTGTGGCAGGCAGCGGTCTGTGAGAGACAGTGGCCAGCAGAGGGCCCCACCACCCCGCTGCAGCACAGGCCCTCCAGGAGTGCGGCAGTAGCGCGGAACGGAAGGCTTCGACCTTATACAAATGCGCTGACGAACCTCACACCCCCCCAGAGCTCTACATAATGGGCCACAACACCCAAGCCTTTACTGTGTCGCCAACTCTTCTATGCATACTCACTATGCATGTGCATGTAATGACCGGAAATCAGAAACTTTCCACTTATTCTGCTTTTAGCCTTGCCTAAAAAGCTAAAAGGAGGAAAAAAAAATCTTGTAAAATAGCTCTCAGTATTTCTTTTTATGGAAACTTGAATGTTATCCATGTCTATACTGACATTCAGAGGGAAAAGGAAGAGAGGATGACGATCTCCTGACTCTTGTCATAAAAAAAACCTGTCAGGTTTTGCAGGATTAGCTCGCTCTCAACTTTGGGCCTCAGCTTAACCTTCACTTCCTCAGGGAAGCTTCCCCTATGCTACAGAAGAGGCACTGCCTTCCTGGTCACCCTCCATCTCGGCACAACGCTTGAGCTCCTCACAACCTGTAACTGCTTTGTTTGCTTACTGTCTGTCACCTCTACTGACATGAGAGGGGGGCTACTCTGCCTGTTCACCACTCGTCCCCAGTGCTCAGACTCTCATCTGCTACATGCTGAGCACTCAAAATATTTGAGAAGGTACAGCAGGATGGAGAGGAGGGAGAATGGAAGAAAAGACTTCTGTTTATGATTAGAAATATGAAGGCAGCACAGTGTAAAAGATAATGGCCACTGTGAGCCATAGTTGCCGGAGTTACAGGAATTGATTATGCAATAATAACTTGCCCTATTCTTTTCTCCCCTCCAGATATGAAATTGGCTTAAATGCAAGAAAATTCTAGACAAGAGTCAGCAAACCTCAATCTGCTGTCTGTTTTGAAAATAAAGCTGTACTGGAACACAACCCTGCCCATTCGTTTATGGACTGTCTATAGCTACTTTCACCTTATGTGGCAGAACTGGGTGGTTACAACAGAAACCGTATGGTTCCCAAAGCCTAAAATATTTACCAGGTGGCCCTTTAAGTAAAAGTTTTTAGAGTCCTATCCCAGACCTAAATAATATGTTCTATAAAAAAATAAATTAAAATCAAGTCCACTCACAGAAGGGCTTCTGTGGTGGCTCAGATGATAAAGAATCTGCCTGCAATGCAGAAGACACAGGTTTGATCCCTAGGTCAGGAAAATCCCCTGGAGGAGGGAATGGCTACCCACTCTAGTATTCTTGCCTGGAGAATCCCATGGACAGAGGAGCCCACTCACAGAAGTTACTTTTGAATTAAGAACAGTAGAGAATAACATTATAAATCAACTATACTCCAGTATAAAATAAAAATTAAATTAGAAAAATTTCAATACTGAGGGAAAAAACTGAACGACTTTAAAGAGTCAAGTTTTATGCCCCTACTGAGGAAGACTCTGGGCTGTGGGTTTCTCAAGAGTCTTACCTTCACCCTGAAAAGTAAGCCACTCTTACTGGTCACAGTGGTCATGATCTGGGGGACCCCATGTCCTTTTCCCGTCTCAGCCAGTAAGAAACAATCTCAGGGCTGAAGAATAAAGTAAAGCCCTGAATCCTCAACTTCAAGTCACAAACAGCAATACCCTCCATTCTCCCCTCCTACCAAACCTTTTCTCTCCTTACTTACTTTTCAAAAGTCCTGCTCAAACAAGAACTCTGCCATGAAGTCTTTCTCGGTATCTCGAGCTTGAATTTAATCTCTGCTTCTTCTCCATAACTTATTTATACTCTATTATAGTATCTGCATCACTCTGTCTTGTTTTATAAGCAGAGAACAGACAATTCATTCAAAAGACTCCTATAACTCACGTTCTGCTAAGTATGATCATTTTAGTTTGGAGGACAGGTACCATCTTATCTTTAGCACCTTCCACTGAATAGCTCAATAAACATTAACTTGAAAGGTCTTCCTGTAATAAGACTTTTCAAAGCAGCTCCACCCTTCTGTCTTGCCCTCAAAAATCTAGAATGACTACTCTAGTGGGAAGTCTGTATATATACAAAAAAAGTTAAGAAAAGTTGCTTCATTTCATATGCAAACGCTCATCTTAAATGCTTACACTATAAAGAATATACAAATACAGTGCGATGACAGCATATACAGGGTACAGATAAACAGAGTTGGTATAGCATGACAGTCGATACTTAGGAGATTAGTAAACACAGTGCAAAATAAAAACCTACTTAGTAGCTAAAAGCACTTGCATCAAGAAAGTCAAAGCTGCAAACTTCAGAAGAAATCACCATTGGTTCTCCAAGAGCTGGCAAATCCATTGAAATACAGGTCAGTCTTCCAATAATACCAGCTACTGTAAGGTCACTATAATTTGTCCAGGCAGTTAAGGCCAGAAGGAACTTCAAGTAACTATATAAGCAGAGCAAAGGAAAACTTACCACATTATGACATATTAGTTATTTCCACAGCAAGCCATCCTTCTTACCACGTTTAACCCCGTTTTTCCCTACATAGCAGATGTTTTTATTGGTAGTTAAAAGTGTGTTTTAATTGTAATAATCACAATGTTAAAATTTTAATTATAAATCTCCTGATTCTTCCTTAAACAACTTAGGCCTAAGGTTACTCTTTAGGTCCTCTATAACAAAAATAAGAGGTAGCCAGAATAAGTAGGTGAAGAAAAAAACCTAAGGGTAATGGGTTATTTGGAAGAAAGTAAAAGAGAGAGAATCTATTCACTTCTAAGTGTTCCAGGCAACTCCCAGGAGATTTCTGTAGGCCAAAGAGTTGAATATACTGATAGGTAGGCTAAGTCCCATTCTAGTCCATCCTGTCTGTCACCAGAAGAATTTCCACAGGTCAGTATTCCACCTTTGCCTCATGGATTTTTTTTTTAAACTGCTGCTCTTAAGCAGCCGTAGTCTCAGGTTCTACAAATGGTCCTTTTAATTTATCTATTTTGATACCGCTTACGAGCAGCACTTTTAAAAAAATCCATGAGGCAAAGGTGGAACACTGGTCTGTGGAAATTCTTCTGGTGACAGACAGGATGGACTAGAATGGGACTTAGCCTACTTCCTTCTCTTCTCAGTCATCAAACAGTCACTTCCACTGTCATACAAGGAAGATCTCTTATGGTGCTTTAGGTTTGTGGAGAAACCTGAGAATTCCAGCCTTTTCAAATGGGGGAATATAATCTCAAGTTAGAGAAGAAAAGGCAAGAAGTAACCTAATATTTTTATTCTTCAGCATTAGGATACTTGCTTTTAGTGTCTGAAGGTAAACTGTTGTTGTTGTTTTTAATGAGAAGCTACTTGAAACCAACAGCTGAAAGAGAGGGGTAGATGTGACAGGAAGGGATATACCAGAAGTTTTGGCTCTGCTAGCAATATATTATCTTGTAATCTGGGCTACATATACACAGGTGTTCATTTATTATTTCCTAGTCTTTTTGTATGTCTGAAGTAGTTCATAAAATGTTTGAAAAAAAATCAAAAGAAGAAATAAATGAACTAGAATTAAGGAGCAAATTTAATACAGAGAAAATTCATTATGGAGTAGGGCAGCAAGCTGATGGCAAAAACCCCATTATCTTAGTTAATGTCTTAAGAGTACCATTTCTATAAAAACGAAAGAAGGAAAGAAAAGTTTTACACATGAAGGAAATTCATTTAATTACCTAGAAAAGGAAACAACAGTGAGCCAAGGCTGAGACTTCTGGAAGGGAAAACAGTATTTGACAGGTCATAGGGCTATGAAACTCTTATCTTTTCCTTAGGCTGCAGACTGTTAAGCATTAGTAGTAACATTTCCTAACTGCCTTACTCTTTTCAGAGCCAGTGGCTTTTGAAATAAGTTAGCACTATACCTGAAGAACACATTCTGTGTCCTCACTCTCTTCTAATACAAAGTTTTCTCAGGTGTGTTCACTCGATATATATATATACCTAGTCAACTAGACTAATGAGGAAGGGCTCCATTCTTAAATATAATTAGCTTTAAGACAAAAATTAGTGCATCTTATCTCTTTAGGGAAATGCTAAGGATTATTGACAACTAGTAACAAAGGAATCTTGGGAATTCCCTGGAGTCCAGTGGTTAGGACTTGCACTTTCACTGCTGGGGCCTGGGTTCGATCCCCTATAGTTGGGGAACTAAGATCCTGCAAGCCATGTGACCCAAAAAGAAGATTCTATAAAAGAAGACTAATCACAGAGGAAAAAAAAAGAAAAAAAGTAGAATGGGAAGATGACTTGTAGAGATCTAAAACTGCATAAAATATCAATAGTCACATGTGATTAAATTTAAATGTAATCTAAATAAAATCTAATAAAATTTAAAATTCAGATCAACACTCATAAAACTAT